ATCAATTTGTTTACTTATATATTTACTTATTTATACAATTTATAAGATCCAGCTATACCAGATCTTAGTTGCAGCATTCGGAACCTTCAGTTGTGACTCATAGGATTTTTAGCATGTGAACTCTTAATTGCAGTATGTGGGATCTATTCCCCTAATCAGAGCTCAAACTTGAGCACCCTACATTAGGAGCACAGAGTCTTAACCAACAGACCACCACGAAAGTCCCTCATCATGCCTGTTTTAGTTTCCTTCATTGTGGCCTGACTTTGTGGCTTTTTCATTGACTTTTATTGAAATTAGACTTGACTAGGTCAGTTCCCATCCTGTATGTGAGATATCCAGCTCATCCTGGTACCTAACGATGATGTCAGATCCTGCTAGTCAACTAGCTCAAAAATACTAACTAATTCAGGAAAACTGTTATTTGTTTGTTTTTCTAATCTATGTGTTTGTTTTGTTATTTTTGACTGAAAACCTCCTGCAGATCATATTCTGGAATCAAGCACATGGCATCTGCTCCAGACCTTGTACTCGATGGCTAACCCTTCATTTTTACCAGTGAAGGAACTGAGACCCAGAGATATGAAATCATTTCTGTAATAGAACAGCTAAACTAGGATCAGACTTTTGCCATCCACTACATATCTGTTGAACACCTTCCTTATACTGGGTGCCATGCAGGAAGAGACAGCCCAGAGAAGATGTGGGAGAAATGACCTCTGCCTTTGAGGAGCGTTAGGTAGTTAGAACAGGAAAAAGGAGTCTAGAATGGTGGTGGCTAAAAGACAAAGAAGGGCAAAGCCCGTGAAAATAGAACAAAGGAAGGTCCAAGGATCGGAGTGAGAATCTCAGGTAAAGCAAACACCCCTCCTGGCTAGCCCGCTTTACATAGGGCAGGCTCAGGGGGAGGAGGAAAACATAAAAAGAGGAGCCAAAATTGGGCCTCTTGCTTCTCTTTTCTTCTCTTCTCTTCTCTTCTCTTCACGTCTCTTGGGTCGGCCCACCCTCACGCCTTGAGGATATATTTTCCTTTGCTTACCAAATAAAACTGAGCTGTAATACCGAGCTGTAACACTGATCCATCGGTCACTTCAAATTTTTGCTGCGGCAAGACAGAACCAAGGAAATTACACCCTCCCCCGACAAGAAGTATAGTTTTAGAGATCAAGACTAAAAAGCATGAACCCACCAGAGAAATGTGTTCAGTTGCCAAGCACCTATTATCACAGCGCTGGACGCTGGACACTGTGATAATAACTGACGTGAATCAGGGGTTCCCCTGCAACCATCCCACTTCACGACTGCGTTTTATTTGACTCTCCCAGCAGCATTACTGAGTAGGAATATCAGAATCCCATTTTACAGAGAAGGAAACTGCTGGAAAGAAATTCTAAACAGCTTGCCTGAGGTCACACAGCTAGAAGTGGAAAAGCTGGGCTTTTCCTGCATCTGTCTGACTCCAGAGCCAGAGATCTTACCCAGAGTGCTCCCCAGAAGCACTATTATCATGTAGAAGAGATATTAAGAGATTAAGTTTCGGTATTCATCCCTAAGGGAACCATAAGCTAAAAGGGAAAACAAGGCTTGTCTGCATCACAACTCCCCAACTCCTTGTCATAGAGGCTAACACAAGCTGTGTGGTGTAGGCAGTTTGGGCCAGCCAAGTTCTCAAGGGAGAAAAAGAATTTCATTTTGGATCTACCCTCTTAAAAGTCTTGGCCTACATGGGGCTGCAGGGTGACACGGGGAATACATATCAGCTCAGCTTAGGAAGCTTAAGACACCATAAAAGCTCAGCTCAAAGCAACCAATTTTAATAAAGATTTGTACAGGTCTTTCATACTGCAGCATTCAACACAATTCCCTCCCAGCTCAACCACCTGCCTGGCACCCTAACACCATGTACACAATAAACAACAATATTTTCAAAGGAGACCAAAAAACAAACAAACCCCAGAACTTACAGGTTATCTGAATGTGATGACCAATTTTTCAGAGCCAAACACGAAGATATGTGGTCTCACAAATTCATATGTCCTTACAGGAACAATAGAATAGTATATTAAAAGTCAGATCTGTCTCTGAACATGAGAATTGTTTGAGGATATATGGCTGTCATAAAGCTAGGTCACTATAAACACACATCATTTGCTTCTACTGGAAGTGAAGAAAGGCTCCTAAGGTTTTGAGAAAATAAACTCTGGTGGGTTTTCTTTTTAAACCAAGTGATTGATTGGTGAGAAGAATTACCAAATACCTGAAGGATAAAGTATATGTCAAAGATTGCAAAGGAGAAGGCTACATTTCATACTCACTATGAATCTTGAATTATATCCTTATGGAAAAAACAAGTGTCCTCAGTATTGGTATGTGTGTGTGCCTAGTCTGTTCAGCCATGTCTGACGGTTTGGCTGCCAACTGTAGCCCACTAGGCTTCTCTGTCCATGGGATTCTCCAGGCAAGAATACTGGAGTGGGTTGCCTTGCCCTCCTCCAGGGGATCTTCCTGACCCAGGGGTCAAACCCATATCTCCTGCATCTCTTGCATTGCAGGCAGACTCTTTACCACTAAGCCACCAAGGAATCCCCCAGTATCAGTATATAGACCTCTCAAATCTTAGTCCCAACATGCTTTTCTAGTTTTCTTCCCTATTCTTCCTCTCTGCCTCAACCAGATTTATTGCCATGCCTGGGACCTTGTAGGCACCTAACTAATAATTGTAAAAGGAAAGGAAGGGAGGGAAGGAGGGATGGAGAGAGAGAATGAACAAGTGAAACAGCAGATATAATCATGGCTTAAATGAACTCATGCTATCATGCTCCTCCCCTCTATGAAATCCTACTCTAAGTAAAGGATCTGATAGATTCAGATCAAAGTGTCATTAAATATGACACAAGAAGCTTCTAACTAACCTAGAGCAATGGTTTTCCACTCTGGCTGCACATTAGAATCATCCAGTGAGCTTTCAAAGAACAGTAATGCCAGGGCCCCACCCCAGAAAATATGATTGAATCGAACTAGAGTGAGGCCCAGGTCGTAGTGCTTTTTTCCTACCTAATGTGCAGACAGGGTTGAGCATTTCTGCTACAGCCTGACCCCTCCGAGGGGCAGAGAGCAGATGTTACTTCTCCATGACCAGAGAGCTGGTGGGTGACAGAGGTAGGACTGGAACTCAGAGCATCACTGAGTCACTCTAGCCTTAATCAGCCCTTGATCTAATGACATTCTTCCCTCTCTCTTATATCTCTCAGACTGCAATTTTTCTCATTCATATTAAGCACCAGCCACAAGCAAGGTGCCAGGTAAACGGCAGTGAGCAACACAGCCAGTCTGCTCCCATCTCGGCCTCAGCAGGAAGAGCTCGTATATCTGGAGGCCTTTCCCAGTCTGGATCATACTGTCTACTTTGAGTTTCTCAAGACCAGGAGCCACGAGTCACTCATCTTTGGAGCTGCAGGGCCTACCATGTAGCCTGGAACAGGGGCAGAGGTGATGGAAGTTTAATGAATAAGTAAATGAACACAAGTGGTTCCTGAATCCCCTTACATGGAATGAAAAAGAACAGAAAACTGTCAAGAAGATCCCTTGTATGAGTCAGGACGATTTAAGTTTTATGTCATAGAAATCCAACATTAATTTTTTGAGGCAAAAGAGGGTATTTATCTGTTCATAACTGGCAAAGGCAAGTGTGTAGAATCCCAGAGCTCAAACCACATCACAGGGCCTCTATCTCTCTTCTCAGCTCCCACCTTAGTTTGTGCCATCTTGGCTTCATGCTTAAGTCAGGGCCTTTCCAATATTCCCAGCATTCCCAGGTTCATAGCCTCTGATTTTAACAATCCCAACAATGACCACCTATCATTCCCACGAAAGACTCTGAGGGCTCAATTCACCCATCCCGGCACCAAACACTGGTTGGTTGAAAGTATATTCTGATTGGTCAGCCTGGCTCACAAGCCCACCCAGGGGCAGTTGGCAGGGAACCACAACGGTCAGCCTCACCAATAACATGTGAAACGGGTGAGGAATCCTCCTTAGGAACCAGAAGAAGGAGATAGGAAAGTGTGCCACACTGCCATGGTCTTCTATCTTTCCATCTTTTGCTCCATCATCGTACTTGCAAGATGGCTTTTGTCCTCATCCATGTAACTTCACGGCGGCTTCTCAGTAAGGAATCTGCCTGCAATGCAGGCAGGTAATTACTCTTGCTCTGAGTCTGTGTAGCCTCCTGGGGCTCCCTCATCAAAGACACAAATGCTCTGTACAGCAATTGTTTGTTTTTCTAGCCCCTACCTCTTGCTAGGATTTCTAAAGACTTTTATATTGTTCATGGTTGTATTCCCAACCTTTTGTACACCATCAGTGTTTTATGAGTATTTACCATGTGTTAATGAATTTGAGTAAACTCCGGGAGTTGGTGATGGACAGGGAGGCCTAGCGCGCTGCGATTCATGGGGTCACAAAGAGTTGGACACGACTGAGCGACTGAACTGACTGACTGAACTGAACATGTGTTAGGCCCTGTGCAAATAAGTAGGTTCTCAGTGAATACATCTTGGAGGCATGGATGAATGGAGGTGTGGATGGTGACTGGATAAATAGTGGATAGAAGAACGGCGGGTGGGAGATGGACAGATGGATGGATGGTGCTCAGATGCATGGATGGTACCCGGTGGACAGCTATCACCACTGCCCAGCGGCTCCGCCCAGAGCAGCCTGAGGCTCCCTCATCCTTTTCTCATCCCTTTCATTCCAGACTGTCATTTCACTTTTCTGAAAGCCGCCTCGTTTCACATGGAGCCATTAGACGGTCCCTCTAGGCCCTCAGGCAACAGCTAATAGTTTCCCTGCCTTCTGCCGCCCAGCTGAATCCTGAATCAACACCAGTAAAGTGGGTGTGAACGTAAGGAGACTACATAATTTGCTATGATTTACCCGGAGTGTGTGCATTCCTCTCCTCCCTCCCTCCCTCCTCACTCCTCTGCCTTGCCCGCTCCCAGGGAACTGGTTCAACCGGAGCACGGCCAGCGCGCGGCATCTGCCTCCGGGGTCGGCGGGACGCAGCCGAGGAGGCGGGGCGCGCGCGGGCCGCGCCTTCGCGCCCGGGACGCCGGTGCGGGGCGGCCGGCGCTCTCATGAGGCCGCCGCCGGGCGGGAGGACGCGGAGCCGCGGCCTCTCGCTGGGAGTCCTCGCCCTCTGCGTGGCCGCCTCCCGCTGTCTGCAGAGTAAGCGCGGGCCGGGCAGGGCCGGGCCGGGCGGGCCGTCCCGGGTGGGGGTCGAGGCCACCGGCCGGCGGGGCGGGGCGCGGCCTGGAGCGGGGAGTGGCCCCTGGCGCGATCGGAGCCGGAAGCCGCCGGGGGAGAGCCGGCTGCCGGTGGCCGTCTCCGCGGCTGCGTTCTGTATTTCTTTTTTCTTGGAAGAACCCGGCTGCGGCCCTGGCATCCTTGACCCCTGGCGCACGCGCGCCCCGCCCCTGCTATGGGGGCCATTCTCCCTCCGCGCCTTCTCGGGTCCCCAGCGCTGGTCCTTGGTTCTTTAGGCCCCCCACCTCTTAGAGGAACCCCCAACAGACGCTCTCAGAGAGGAAAGGGGGCCGGGGCTGGGGTTGGGGTCTGAACTCCTCAGGCTGGAGATGGCCCTCGCCGCTCCGCCGCGGGCGGAGGGTTCGGATGGCTGGACCCCGGGGACCCAGACCCCAGATCAGAGCACAGCTGCACCTTCTCATTTAGTCATTCCCCTTATGATCACTCCCATTTTACAGGTTACTCACCCGAGGTTTCCAGAATGACAGGCGCAGGGCCGCGGGCGGGGGAGGACCTCTAGGCAGAGCCGGTGCTTACTAAGCGCCTTTGCGCTCACTGTTGCCAGGGCTTGACGGCACGTCTGTCATTGAATCCTCAGAGCCACTCTATGTAAAAAGTGCCACTCTTCTTATTTTCCCTTAATTTTCACTGGAGTGTAGTTGCTTTACACTGCTGTGTTAGCTTCTGCTGCGCAGCAAAGGGAATGAAAAAGTGCCGCTGTCATGCCTGTTTCACAAGTGAGGAAACTGAGGCACAGCTGCCGCCACCTAGGCAGTGATAGAGTTAGTATTTAAACCCGGGTTAACGTGGCACGATTGACCCTTACACCTCTCCAGCTACAGCCCAGCTTCGAAGGCTGCGAATCCCAGGAACCCACAAAGACTGGTAGGGGCCGCGTGCCTCTGGCTGGCTGTGGAGGAGGAAGCAGGTTAGTCCATCAGATGAGTGGGTGCGTCTGGGGTCGCAGTGATCTTTTCTATCATTTTGCACTCCTCCAACATGTTTCCAACCAGACATTCTCATGTAACATCTGTACAGCTGTCCCTGACGTTCAGGGGTCAGCCGTTCACCGCAGTGCGGAGTCCATTTATCCACTCACTCATTCACGGCCCCCTCGGCTTCCAGGAAGCAGGCCACAGCGGTACTGGGGGTTCTGTGGTTCAACAGTGATGCTCTCAGACAAGCAAACAAGAGTGCTGGCTGGGAGTGGCCAGTCCTGAGAGGCAGGGAGTGCCGAAGTTCTGGAAGCTCTAGAGGCTCAGATCCCAGACGTGGGGAATTAGACCAAGACTCCCAAAGGGAGCTGTGCCTACCCAGTGACAGATGGACAGAGCTGCCGGGAATGGGACAGCGGGACACAGGGCATCCTAAATGAAGGGGAAACGCATGCAAAACCGAGAGGAAGGGTCAATGTTTTGCAGTTCTCCACTGAGGAGCGACTCCTGCAGAGCTGTAAACTGCAGGAAGGCAGGTCCCTAGCACTTGCCCAGTGCCAGCCGCTGTCTGCCCTGTCCCCCTGCCTGAGGGGGCTATGTTTCCAGGCCAGCTCCGGTGACGTGGGGAGGGGGGCTCTGCCCTCTCACCAGCGCCCTCCATTCTCTTCTTCTGCAGCCTCTGTCCAAAGCCTCCACCCAGAAAGCCAGATATGCATCACTGACACTGAAGCCTGTGTGAAAGCACGTGCCACAAGCGCGCACACACACACACACACACACCCTGCACGTGAAGCCTTTTCTCTGTGAATGCGACCATTATGGACTGAATGCTTGTGTCCCTGAAATTCCCATGTTGAAACCCTAACAGCCTTTGGGAGGCATTAGGTTTAGAGGAGGTCATGATGTTGCGGTCCCCACCGGGAGGAAGAGACACCGGAGAGCCCCTCCTCTCTTGCTTCCTTGGGAGGACACAGCGAGACCGCAGCTGTCTGCAGGAAAGGAAAAAAGTCCTCCAAATCTGCCGGGACCTTGATCTTGGCTGTCTCAGCCTCCAGAGCTATGCTCCTTAAGCCACCCAGTCAATAGTATTTTGTTATAGCAGCACAAGCTAAGACAGAAGTAAAAAAGTGCTGATGTCAAAAAAAAAAAAGTGCTGATGTCATAAATACCCCCAAAATGTAGAAGCAGCTTTGGAACTGAGTAATGGGGTAGAATTCTGGACGAGTTTTGAGGTACATGCTAGAAATACAGACTCTAAGTGCTGTTCTGGTGAGGTTGGAAATGAGGAACAAATTATTGGACAATAGGGAAAAGGTGATCCTTGTTAGAAAGTGGCAAAGAACTTGGCTGAGCTGTGTTCATGTTCCAGAGTTCCCGATGAAGGTGGAGCTTGGGAATGATGAAATTAGATAATTAACTGAGATTCTTTTTTTTTTAATAATGTATGTGTCTAGATGCATTTTTTTTTTGCATATAGATGTCCAATTTTTCCAGGAACACTTGTTGAAGAGACTGTCTTTGCTCCATTGTATTGCCTTTGCTTCTTTGCCAGTGATCAGTTAACTGTATTTAAAGGGATATATTTCTGGGCTTTCTGTTCTTTTTTTAAAAATTTATTTATTTATGTTACTTTACAACATTGTATTGGTTTTGCCATATATGGCGGACTTGAATCCACCATGGATGTACATGTGTTCCCCATCCTGAGCCCCCCTTCCACCTCCCTCTCCATCCCATCCCTCTGGGTCATCCCAGTGCACCAGCCCAGAGCATCCTGTATCATGCATCAAACCTGGACTGGCGATTCATTTCACATATGATAATTTACATGTTTCAATGCTATTCTCCCATATCATCCCGCCCTCGCCCTCTCCCACAGAGTCCAAAAGACTGTTCAATACATCTGTGTCTCTCTTGCTGTCTCGCATACAGGGTTATCGTTACCATCTTTCTAAATTCCATATATATGCATTAGTATACTGTATTGGTGTTTTTCTTTCTGGCTTACTTCACTCTGTACAATAGGCTCCAGTTTCATCCACCTCATGAGAACTGATGCAAATGCATTCTTTTTAATGGCTGAGTAATATTCCATTGTGTATATGTACCACAGCTTTCTTATCCATTCGTCTGCTGATGGGCATCTAGGTTGCTTCCATGTCCTGGCTGTTATAAACAGTGCTGCAATGAACTTGGGGTACACGTTTCTCTTTCAATTCTGGTTTAACTGAGAAGATTCTTAAGCGAAGTGTTGAAGGAGCAGCTTGGTTCCCCTTGTCTGCTTAGAGTAAAATGCAAGAAGAGAAAAATGACTTGAAGAAAGAATTCTTAAGCAAAAAGGAAAAGGAACTTAAAGATGTGGAAAATTGGCAACCTGTCTGTGTTATAAAAAAGAGAACATGTTCAGAAGAGAGCACAGAGACTATGACAAACCACTGTTTGATAAGATTAGCCTGGGTGTGAACCATGGGCCTAATCATCCCCCCAGCAGGAACAACTCCAGTGTAACTGCAGGGGTGAAGACAGAGGGAAGTGAGGGGAGGTCGTCGGACTTGATGGATCCTGCAGGGCTGACAGTATCGCTGTCTAGCTGTGTATGCTATTTTTCAGAATAAGAAAAGAATGAAGGCAATTCAGTCAGCATCAGAGTTGTCTCCTTGGTTTCAAATGTGGGGTGAGGGGGCAGGGTATTGGTTTCAACAGGCAAGGCGGAGGCTTTGCTGAGCCCTCCGGGGGGCCTGGAGATGTCCAGCAGAGCTGCAGGGGTGAGGTGACCCCTGCCTCAGTGGGTCCTGAAGGCAGAGCCTGGCACCACAGAGGATTATGAGCGAACCTTAAGGGCTGATGGATTTACCTTACTAGGTTTTGGACTCACCTGGAAACTGTCACTCCTTTCTTCCTTTTGATCTCTCCTTTTTTGGAATGGGAGTTTATATCCTATGCTTGTTCCACTGCTGCATTTTTGGAAGCACATAACTTATCTGGTTTTACAGGTTCTCAGCTGAGAATAATTTTCTTTCAAGAAGAAGCATATCTCAAGTCTAACCCAGTCTGATTTATTATAGATGAGATCTTAGATTTGAAGGAGAAATGAGTTAAGACTTTGGGAACTGTTGGGATGGAATTGATATATTTTGCATGCAGGAATTCATTGCATGAATTTTGGGGGATCAGGGACAGAATGTTGTGGACTAAACATTTCTGTCCCCCCAGAAGCCATTATGTTGAAGCCCTAACTCCCAATGTAATGGTATGTGGAGGTGGGGCCTTGAGGGGGCAGTTAAGTTTAGAGTTGACGTCATGAGGGTAGGACTTCTGTGAGGGGTTGGTGTCTTTCTAAGGAGAGAGAGACCACGGATCCCGCTCTCTGCATATGACAGTGCAGCAGGAAGGTGCCCGTCTACAAGCCGGGAGGAGGGCCCTCAGCGAGAACTGAGTCTGTTGGCACCTTGACCTTGGGCTTTCCAGCCTCCACAACTGTGAGGAGTAAATGTCTGTTGTTTAGGCCCCTGGTTCATGGTGTTTTGTTATAGCAGCTCAAGCTGACTAAGACAGGGCCTTAAAAGCCCTGAAAGCTGGCAGGTCACCTGCACCTGGCCAGGTAGAGTGCTCTTCCAGGACCTTGTTCACCTCCTGTCAGAAGTTAGCCATCAGGCTTCTGAGTATCAGTGCCTGCTTATCTGGATGCAGGTGATCCAAGACTCGAGTAGGAATGACTTGGGTTTTTTCGTTGTTGGTTGGTTGTTTTTAATTGAAATACAGTTGATTTACAATGTTTTGTTAATTTCTGCCATACAGCAAAGTGATTCAGTTTATACATATATGTACATTCTCTTTTAAATATTCTTTTCCATTGTAGTTTATCCTAGGATATAAGCCTACATAGTAGGGCCGGTTGTTAAGTAGAACAGTTTAGTTGGTGGCCTGAGCCAAGTCAGCTTGCTGCCTGCGTTTCAACCCCAGCTTCTAAAAAGCAGCCTGCTCCCC